TAATATATATATATATATATATATATGTATATGTATATGTATATATATATATATATGTATATGTATATATATATATATATGTATATGTATATATATATATATAAAAGTAATATTACCTATCTTTAATTAATATTAATTATTTTACAATCCAATCTGTATTGCATTGCACAAGATATTATGCTGTAAAATATATAATAATGGAGAATGATAATTGTTATTCTTCCAGAAACGTGGGCTTAAACGTAAAACTTATATTTTTATGTCATTTTACTTTTGTACTTTTTTTCCTTTTGATTAACATAACGCTAAAAAGATAACAGTTATTTTCATAAACACGCAAGTGATCGAACCTTACAACTCGAATTACAATGTTCGCATTGGTTACTGCAGATACGTATAATCAGTTATCATGATGATTTTATGATGTTATAATGACTATCGTTTATTGTAGTATTGTTTCATATTGTACTGTACGAGAAGATTACAGCTGCACATTTCTTAAATCTAGAATAACTTATGTATAATATTCTTAGTATTACATATCGAGTAGAGATACCAATATATGCAAGTGAATTAAAGGAATTGCAGTAATTACTAAAAATTCGAGACAAGTTGAATAAAGGACGTAAGAAATTTAAAAAATTAGATGAATAAATTATGCGATTATTCATATATATATATAAGTAATACAAATCTCAGCTCACAAGTCTATCGTGATGCGATTTCTAATATGTCACATGATAACATCAAGTCTTGACATCTGAAGACGTTAAGATAAAGTCAAATTTGTACAATTTGAACAATGATGGAACAATGAGGGATATACATGATTATTATGTATCTTCGACACATAACAGCTGCCTTATTCATATAATCTGCAAATGAATTCTTTATTACGTATACGTGTTTTTTTTCGTCTAAGATCAATGTCTCCTAGGTCGAAACGAAATTTCAAGACGTAGCACAAACTAAATTCTTTTTAACAATAAAACCTTAGATACAGATCAATAATCAGCGTATTTTTATCGATATTAGTGTATCAATTATTATGCAGCATAGTATTGCAAAATGATTTTCTATATTACATAGGATTTATATTAGTTGTAGTAAAGTAATCGTTAAAAGATGGATTACAATCTAATTCAGATATTAAAGCTGACGTAAAAATGGACGTGAAATCAGTCTCTGTTTTATACTCGCATTCATTTGATTTTTTGTTTTTTTGTAGTGTTACAGAATTTTAATGATTTTCTCGCGTTACTTTTATTTAAATATGACGCATCATAAAATATCCGATTATTTCCAAAGTCGTGCAGCCGTTTCTTTCTTCTTCACAATTTTTACTCTGCCGGCAATTAGGTCTGTAACCGAGTGTATATTGTAAGCTTAATATCGTATTTTTTTCATAAAATAAATCATGATGGAGAAATATCGGATTAAATATCTTGCAAGAGACTAATATACGATATCTTATATCTGAATAATATTCAGTAAACTTAACGCTGTGTTGATAATCACAGTTTCATCATCATAAAACCAGATTGTGACTAATATAATGTGCATGTTTACCATACATAAAGTATGTAGAATGCAAACACATAATAATATATAGATATTTCAATATAGATCTTATTAAAAGTATAGATCTTATTAAAACTCGTACACTTATTTGTAATTATTAAAAAGAATGGCAGATATCACCGTTAAGTAAGCACGAATGCGTTTATTTTAATCACTATCAGAATCGCAAAAAGTTTGATTTTTGCATCGACACAGTCGACACAATTCATTTTTTAATGAAATTAGTGCTGTCCAAAATTTGCAATTTGGCTTAGATATTGATAGTGACATGTCGATATTTATGTCCATTTCTTATCTCGTAATTATCTTTTGCCTGCAATGATATATCTCAAGAATGAAGTTGAACTGAGAAAATCAAAAGTTTTTGATGTGTGTAAATGTTAAATATTATTACTATTATTATAAAATATAATTAAAAATAATTCTATTATTATAAAATATGATTTAATTATATTATATAACAATGTTTTAAATATATAACTATAAGTACATACATTAAACACTTATAATGATTTCAGACAGGGTTTCATCCCTGAGATCAATTACACACCATGAAAAAACAATTATGAAGTGAGAAATAAATATAGACACATATTAATATCTAAGCAAAAATTATAAATCCTGATAGTACCGAGAGAAACAATATGACTGAGAAATCACTTTTGTTCAGAGAAGCAACGAAGAATTCTTTAAAAGAAATAAAAAAACGTAATATCAAATATCAAATATACGTGACGTGACATCTATTTTATAAATAACGAGTATATATAGATATATATTTTATGCTGCATTAAAAGTCAAATCAATCTTCTTGCCATTCAAGCGGGTTTGAAGTACATTCACCATTTACTCTATTTTCATGCTCCATTGTGGTTACACTCTACAATCTACGATCTTCTAAAATTTCGAAATCTTAACCCGTGGAAATAACCGGTTTAAAAAATAAGTAAGCAGTATGTCCTGATTCTCAGCGTCACTAAAAAGAGTCGTAAAAAGAGTCCCTCACAGCCTAAGTAAGACTTTCACTTGAGATCTTAAGTTTGTTGAACGAATGCTGAAGCAGGACTCGACGATAGCGTTTCAGATAGAATCTCTTTACGCGAATTTTCCTAAGACGATACACATTTGTACAAATAATATAACTCTGATTTTCCCGTTTACGATGCTCGTGATTGTGCCGATTCATATATCGAAGCAAACTATTCATTAAAAAATAACATAGTTCTCGTGATTTTCTCGATCACGCTCTACATGATTCGTGCGCAGTATCACGCGTTTTGCGATACGACATGTCCTGCTAATGATTCTGTATCTCATCATTCTTTACTATAAGTATTACAAAAGGAACTATTAGAAAGAAAAGTTTTCATTGACCATCAAACTGTAAAACTTTCTTTCAATTTGTAAAATGTTTTATGATTGTGTGTGTTGTGTATATGAGTATGTGAAAGATTTTACAGCTTGATGAAGAGTAAATATCATAAAAGATAAAATGATTTACAGACACTTCAAGAATGATAAGATCTGATTGAGACATACATATATATGTGTGTATATATATATATATATAAAAGATATAAACATAATTTACAGAATAATATATGCATATCTGTGTTTCTGCTCATATTTCATAAGCTTATGAAAGTTCTTCTGTAAACCATCTAGCCGTGCATTTGTTACTTCTGTTCAATTCAACATGAACAGTGGTTACTTCCCATAGATGTACATGATATCAATTTACACAAATTATACAAAGATTGAAAATGCTAAAAATATTCGCTTCTGCGAGAAACTGTCCTCGATGTAGATGGCATCGAACGAGAGATTGCAAATTGCAAATTTTTCTTAACAAGTGATTTGTAAAACGCGGTTGTTCGGTAATGTTTTGAACAAAAAAAAAAAAAAATTAACATAATTATCTCGTGCGACATCACGTTCGGCATTCCTCGTCTATAAAAATTTCGGGATACCGCATTATTGTTTCATCTGATTGTATAACCGACATTTCGCATAATACCCGCGTAATTCGCGCTCTTTATCGCTCTCTTTAGTTTTGTACCTACAGTCACAGTCACTGAACATCTAACACGATGATTCGCTTAATACGACTGTTGGATTGGAAATAGTAAACTCTAACCATTACGTGTAGCCCGATTTTATACGTGACTTAAACGAAGAACGGACAAGAGAGAAATGACACAGAAGATTTCTACGATGGTTCTGTAGTGACTGTGGTTTCTGAAGATGTACTCACAGGTGGTACCACAGTCGATTTGCATGCTGGAATAAATTCAGCTGCGTCTGGATTTAGTGTGCTCTAAAAATTTACACGTACAAGCGACAATACAGTGATTACAATACAGTTAATAACGAGATATCAATAAAAAATATCGCTTCTTTTCTTAAAACTTTTTTTTCTTTTTACTACCTGCTTGGCGAGATCGTCAGACTGCATCCTTAGACTGCTGAGCTGTTGGCAAAGTTCCGCAGCATTATTGTCGGGAGTGCCAGTAGCCGTAGACCAAGCAGTAGAGCTCATATTCCTTTGGTGCTGCCTTTCTTCTTCCAGCATCGCTTCTAGACACTCTTCCATCAGTTCTTCCTCTTCTAATTGTTGGAGCACCTGATGCCGACAGAACACCAAGCACATAGTAAATGATTATTTTGAAAAGCTTTATATTTATGGGTAAGGCACCTGCTTGTCAAACTCCTCCTCGTTCTCCATCCAAAGATATTCTGAAAAATCGCCATCGCCTATCGCTTGCACTTCGGGCTCCGTGTCACTGTTGTTGTCCATATAGGAGGTGATGCCCGTCTCCTGCCCGTAATAAGTCCCGTTTCCAGGCCCACCGTTTGGGATCTTCATTTTCATAGCCAGTATACTAAACGATGCAACTACTGATTACCTGTAAATTCTCGCTATCAATGTCCATCCAATGCCATCGTAACAGATAACATTTGAGTCAACTTTATCAGTACACCGTTCATCATAAGAGACAGAACCGCACGTTCGGGAGAAACAAACAAATAAACAAAACTCATACAGATATTCTCGAACGACAATCCGCTTGTAAACACTGACCCTTTAATTAATCTCGATCGGACGAAAGCCACCACCGATCCGCCGGCAGACGAAGATCGGAGGCGACGTGCGGAGGGGACGGAGCGGGGATGCCGCTCAAGTCAACAAACTGCGAGCGCTAATCCGCGGCTTTTCACGCATATGGAAGCCGCCGACTCGCCCCGATTGTCGGCCGGGATATTTACCTGGAATTTGGCGGCCGGACAACACTAAGGGATCAGTCGCGTGTGCGCGCGCGCGCGCGCGCACGATAACGTTCCGTCTCTCTCTTTCTCCCTTTTTCTCTCGTTAACAACGCATAGCGAGAATGCAACGGCGCGAGAATCGTCCTCGTTACTTGACAGATGAGGTCGCATGGGCGACCATCTTTGCGAACGCGTTTCGTACCTCGTATCGTATCGAAATCAGGCGCGTCTCGCTCTCTTTCTTTTTCACTCACCCTCTCTCTCTCTCTTTCTCTCTCTTTCCCTCTATTGTTTATCGAACGACGGTTGGTCCGGATTACCCTTCTCGACAGAGGAATAACGGGATGGTCGCGTCTTCCCACGGAGTCGGTTTCGCACACAAAACATATCTTACCTGTGATGTAAAATAGATTCTTCAGGTTCCTCGTCGTTAATCGTCGATGTGATCGTCGTCACGGTCGTCGCACGAATTATATGGGCGATTTACGCAGTTCACGCGCGCGCGAACCGAAATACGTGTCGTTCAACGCAAATTAGCGATCGCACAGTGCTGCCACCGGCGTTGTTGTTAAAAGCCGCAGCGGGAGCACAGCGTTGGTAAAATTCTCAATTTTCTCGTAAGTTCGATCGCCATCATCGGGGATATGTCGCAAGAAGTGACGAAATGCGGAAGAGGACGTCGGCTAACAAATGAATTCGTTTTGCAAAAAATGAAAATTTCTTTCACGCGCAATTTTGCCCCATGCAACGTCTTTAAACGCATCAATCTTATTTTGCAAAATATATTTAAACGAACTTGAAGGAGTGAAAAATTTTTAAGAAAACTATTAAAAGAATATAAAATCCTTGTGACTTTACATAATAAGATAAATATAAAAACTATAAGAATATTATTATAAATTTTATTAGCCACTCGTTTATAATTAATAAATCGCATTAATCCAGCATACCAACTGTAGCTTCGTTTATTATTTGCAATAATGGAAGTAAAGACTTTCTATTTAATTTCTGTTACTTACATATTTCATTTCTCGCTCTCAATAAAATTATTTTTATTATTATCTTTCAGATGTGGAGTAATTAATCCGTATGCTAATTATAGCCGTTCGCTTCGACGAAAATAGTCAAGATACATCTCGGTAGATGTCAGTCTCGATGACGTTTGCAAATTGTTTCGACGATCTGAGAAAAGCT